ATTTTTTTTTTTTGAACTATGTCCTATTGCTTCTACAAAGCGACCTGTACATAGTACATATCTAACTCAACTTAATTAAAAATTAATAAGTTTAGCAAGTTTAACTGATTGCATTTAGTTTAAATTTATAAATAAGTTGACACGATTTTAAACTAAAAAAAAATATAAAATAGTAAATTTAGAGAGTTGACTCACGAGTTTAGTTGAGTTTTCATGTAATTCGAATTTATAACTAAGTTTATCATGATTTTATAAGTTAAAAATATAAAAACAATTCCAGTTGACTCAAAAGTTTAACAATTATGCTTTCATCCTCTCCTATCTCTTTATTAAAATATTTTGTGGACCGGGTTGAAGTAATAATAAAAAAATAATTTTTTTATTATTTACTTATAATAATAATAATAATAATTAATCAATTGACTTAAAATATGATAAATATAACCTAATGTCTTCATACTTGTCCATGTCCTCTCTCTTCTTCTTGTCATATTAAAACTACGTTGTCCAATCACTGGGAATTATATATGACGAAAGATACTAATTCTCACAATATAAAAAATTAATATTTAAATATTTATTAAAAAGAGATACGTATATTCAATATCCAATCATATCTTGAATATGATTGTTTTTAATAAAAAGATACTTGTAACTAATAATAATGATGATGATGATGATATGCTGGTATAAAGAAAGACATGCTTAGCTTCTTTTTTTTTTTTTTTCCCTTGCCCTGGGGTAGCAATTTTCAAACCTACTTATATTTTAGATCTGAATTTTGAATTTTAATCTTGGGCAAGTGGACATCTACCCATAATATTAGTTTTAACAACACAACCGACACATCATAAATAAATGAAAAATTACCTCCAATCTCTGTATTAATTATTACTCCAAATATTACTTTCTCCAATCCTTTTGATAAAGGCCTATTATCAAATTTTATGAGATTAAGTTAGTTGCTTAAATTTAGTTAAATGTTAAATTTTTTTATGACTTTTCAAAATTACCCTTTTATATAGTATTGTTTAATTTAATAGTTTAATAGGAGAAGTGGGTGTAAAGATGAAGAAATAAAAGCATTTGACCTTAAATTGACCCTACAATTAATGTTTGAATATGATGGAGATAGTTGTATAATAAATAAGTAAATTATTTCTTGAATTTTATATTCAATAGCATCATAGACTTTAAATTTATTTATTATATAAATTATTCACTCAACTTGTAAAAATAGTGTAATTTAATTCCTGTCGTTAACACAACTTAATTATGACTGTTAGCTGACCAAAAAATAACAAAAAAGAACATAAAAAATTAGAAGAAAATAAGCAAAAAAAAATTTCATTGTCCCTTTCTGTAATTTTTTGGTCCTTATTTGTAATTTTTAAATCATTTATTATAACTTTTTACACCTTTTCTATAACAATTAAAATTAATTTTTATTAATGTAAATAGTCAAATTGTACGTTTTTAAAAATTAAGAGAATAATTTATATAATATACAAATTTAAAATTTATGGTGCTATTAGAATAAAAGTTCATGAGTTAATTTATTTATTTAGCTATGTATACATATAGATAAATGGGAGCTTTTGTTGAAATGAGTTTTAAATCTTTCATTAAAATTTGTGAAGGGTTTTATATTAAAAATCAACAGATAAGGTTTTGTATAGGATTAGGATAATTTATTATTTGTCTACGAAAAGATCCGTTGCATTTGGATTACAATGAGATCCATTCAATGCATCGAAATGCTCATATCTTCCCATGCTTTAATTATTTCATTTTCACATTACAAGTTCTGCATCTCAAACATTTTAACTCTTTAATTTTTTTATTTTATGGTTTTTTTGGACCTGGAATCTTATAAATTTTTTTGTTATTCATTGAATTTTTGAAATGAGTATTTATACATAGGCAACACGTGATAAGATTAAAAAAAGGGAGAATGACAATTAAGTCTTAAACCAGGAAATTATTAATAATTAGATATTTGATAATGTATGTTTAATAATAAATTATAAATATCAATTTAAATAATAATAAATTCTGGAGTTTCAATTATAAATAAGACATTTAAATTTTAAATATAATTCTCAGTTTATAATTGAGATTCTTGTTTATAATTCTCTAAATCAACATTTATAATTTATTTTATTAAAAAAATATTGGAAACCTACTGTCATTAATTTCCTGCATTAGGACGTTATTGTGTATTTTCCATCACAAAAAAAAAACACTAACCAATTATCAATAATACAACTTAATTTAAACTCGGTATAAACAAAAAAATGTGTAGTTTTCGGTCATAGTATCAAGATAATTAATAATTTCAGGCCAAAAAATAAATATAATTAACAATTAATAATAAAATATATATTTATAAAAAGACCGTACTATTACAGTATAAACATTATAATTAATTGATTTTTTTCTGAGTGTTATTGTTAGTTAATTTATTTACTTTTTAAGCTCTGTGTAACTTTTTCTTTTAAATTTTTCATCAATTTAATTAATTTAATTTAAATGTTAAAAATAATTGTAAATTTTCAACACTTACAAATTAGTACTTATATTGGGCATAAAAAAACTTATGATTTCATTTCATTTGTTCATTAACCAAAAAATTAAATTAAAAATTAAACAACAAAAATGAAACTCGAGGCATAATTTAAAAAATTAAATATGTTTTCGAAATAAAAATAAAATTAAATAAAATAATTAACTTAAAAAATAAAATTCAAGATGAAACTTATTCTAAAGATAAATAAACAAATTGTTTCCTAAACTTTAAGTTCAGTAGTACCATAGATCCTAAATTCGTTCATTATGTAAATTCTTTTCTCAATCTTTTAAAATCATATATTTTGGCCTCTGTTGTTAGTAAAAGTTAACTTTAATTATTAGTTGATAATAAAATAATAGAAGAAACCTAAAAAATTATAGAAAATGACCAAAAAGATTTTTTGATCCTTTTCTATAATTTTTTGAATCATTATTATAATTTTTGAATCTTTTATTATATTTCTTTTGCCTTTTTTAATAACTTTTGAAGTCATTTTTATCATTTTATGATCAATTAATATTTAAAGTGAATTTTTATTAATAATAAGAGTTAGATTGTACTTTTTTTAAAAGGTGAAGAAATAATTTATATGATAAAGGAGTTTAAGGCCTATGATCTTATTAAATCTAAAGTCTAGAGGTAATATGCTTACTTAAACTGTGAATTTCATAAAAAAATGTTTTTATTTTTCTATTTTTACATAATACCATGTTTTAAGTTTTAAAAAAATGTAATTTCTTACCAACAAAATGCTAAATTATTAAAGTCAACAAGTTAACACGGTAAATTATATATCCTTCGTAAAATATTAAAACTGACAAAATAATAATCAAAGTCCCCTACATCACCTTATTTTGTAAAAAAGCCACGGATTGGTCATGAGAAGGATGAGATATGTTGGCAAAAAAAAAAAAACATTGTATATAATATAAAAAATTTTCATTTATCTATTTAGAAGTTCAACAAGTCAGTTCTAATACTATTTTTTATTATATCTTTATATTTAATTCTTTAATTGGATATATTCTCAAAAAAAATATTGACTATAAATAAAATAAATTTTAAATTATAATTTTATAACTTATCAAATATATATGAATCTTAGTTAAATCAATCAATCATGAGTAGACTAAAAAATATTTGCACTTATACTTGTCAAGATTTTTCTAAAAAAAATTCCAATTCTAAATAATATTATACACTTGTAGAGGGTTATAAAGTGAAGTTATGGTTTAATTTTTAGATTTTCTGAGTTTTTTAAAAGTTTTTTAACTTTTTTAATATTAGATTCATACGCTATCTCATTTTCAAAAAATCGTTTTGGTTTCTGGCTTAATTTTGAGTTTTGTCTTAATAACGATTTAATTGCAATCCAACGGCTTAGATATAAAAATAATTTTTTAATCCAAACTGAACTGTTGGTTAGTGAGTCTGAATAGTTAAAATAATTTGATTATTTTAATACCTGGTTATGGTTAAGAGCAGTTTGCATTTGCTCTCAAATTCTTAATGAAATTGGACTTCACCATCATCAAAGTACACCGCTTATGCCACGCCAAATACATAAAGCCATATTGAAAAATTAAACAATAATTAACATATTAATTATATTTTTTATCTGTGCAAAAATCTTAAATAAAATTTAAAAAAAATGGATAAAATAGACTACGTTTGAATAACGATTTTGATGTTCTAAACTTCGATTTCATTAACTTTTCTTCTCATACATAATGGTTTTATTTTTTAAATTAAAAAAATTAATCATTTAATCTTTATAGTTTTAATCCAGTTATAACTTAGTCCTTACATTTTGACTAATTATAATCAATTTTAAGATTTTGATTTGATTATAAGTCAATCCCTGAACTTTACCTCTTGCAATTTAGTTCTTAAAATTTTAACTTATTAAATATTTGTCCCTATATTTTAAAATAAAATTACAAAGGTTAAAAATATTTTAAAATTTTAAAATTTATAATATTTATAAAAATAAAAAAGGTTTATTAATTTAATATATTAGTAATAAATTTTAAAATATTTTTATTTTTAAAATATATGAATTAATATTTAAGAGGTTAAATCTTTAAAGACTAAATTATAAGAAGTAAAGTTTATGACTGATTTCCAATCGAATCAAAACTTTAAAGATTGAGTTACAATGAGTTAAAATTTAAAAACTGAATTAAAATTAAAAAAATTAAATAATTAATTTTTTTAAAATTTTACACTTTAAAATAATATATATTTAGAAAATAGAAAAAAAGTTTTTCCTTTTGACAAAACAAAAAAAATCAAGAAGAAGCAGAAGAAGAAGAAGAAGAAGAATAGAAGGCAAGAATAACTTCGAGGAAAAAATCTAGCTAATTTAATAATTTCAGAAAATCTGTCCGAAAAGGAAGGGCATAGCGGAGAATGAAAGAAACAACCACAAATATAAATCACCATTCTTTCTTCTGACAATCCTTCGTCGTCTTTCTCCATTCTTCCTTGCTCACTGTAATCTTGTTCTTGTTCTTGCTCCTGTGTTTCTTCCCATCAACGATCCGCAAAAATGCTCGCAGTTTTCGACAAATCGGTGGCCAAAGGCCCCGATGCTCTCACCAGTCCTGAATCCGGCTCCGTTTCTTCCCTGAAAGATGGCTTCCTCGCAAAGCACTTCGCCTCCGTACACTCCACTCCCGTCTCCGTCAATCTTGGCTCCGCCGGTCTCATGGTATATTCTATGGACAAACAGAACCCTCTCCTCCCAAGGTGAACTCTCCATTTCTCGATTCATCGCATTTAACTTCAATTGCAGAAAAAATAGAAATGATTAGCTTGCCACTCAGTTTTTATAGTTTTTATATTTTTATTTATTATTGTTAATTCACTTTTTGCTGGATCTGTGTGTGTTTGTTTTTCTTCTAAGAGATTTTTGTAGATGAGATTGAGATTAGAACTTATGGTAAAAGCCAAGTACTTTTTTTCTTCCGGCTCGTTCACGGTTTTTTTGTTTCTGGACGATCGAATCGCATGTTTTGGACTCTTGTGATGGGATAAACATAGTATGTCGGTTTTTGGTTGCTCCTTTTGTCTTAAGTTTGAGCAATGGTGCATCTAGTTTCCATGGATTAATTTATATTCAGATACGTTTATCTGATGTGCATGTTTGGGTAAGGCATGTGTGATGTATTCCTGTTTCCTAACCTTTGCATCTCCTTATAGTAGTTGTTTCTCGGTCGATGACGTTATAATAATTTTTTCTCGTTGGTGTATATATATTTTGATAATCACTCGTTGTATTTTTTTCTCCTGTGAATATAGTATATGTTCTAATTTTTTGGCAATCACTTGTTATTGTAATTTTTTAAATCTCTTTTTATATTTTGGGCTATCAGTCTGAAATTGCTAGAATTAACACTCTCCAATTCTCAATTCTGTGATGCTTTTTGTGCCCTACTTTGCTTTCTTTCGTAAATTATTGGCACTTTTATTGTCTTTTCTGTTATTGGTTCCTTTTCTGGTTTGAGCTCCTTGTCGGTTCTGGAATTATCTGTCTCTTTTGATGCCCTTGACAGTCTGAAACTAGTAGAATTAAACTGCTTTGCTTTCGTAAATTCTTGTTTCTTTTTATTGTTTTTTCCGTTATTGGTTCCCTTTCTGGTTTGAGCTCCTTGTTGCCTCTGGAATGATCTGTCTTTTTTGACGGCCTTATTGTATTTTCCCAGCTATCCAAATATAATTTTCCTTTGTCAGTATATTAGTTGTGTGCTTATCCAGATATCCCACGATAGTATTGTAGTGGCATGTGTGCTTACTGGACCCTTTTCATTTTCTTGTTCTATTTGGCTTTTTGCCAGTGTCATTGTTTTTTCTTGTTATTGTTAGTTAGCAAGGTTTTGGATTGAAGACGTTTTCAATCACATTCATTAAGATAAATATGGGCACTTGTATATCTGCGTGAAGTCATGCATGATTAGTCTATCTTTATCCTCTTTATAGTTACACCTGACATTGCTTTCCTTAATCTATGTGGGCTAAATTTCCTTTATAAAATGCCCTCATCCTGTCAGATATTATGACAAAGTGATTATTTATCAGATATATATATATATAAGGAGGGAGGGAGATTATATTGTTAGGTGCTGCTTCCTTGAACATATTTGGTATATAATTCTTCCTTCATCTTGGCAGATTATTTGTTGTTGTGGATGACATCTTCTGCATATTTCAAGGCCACATTGGGAATGTTGCTAATCTCAAGCAGCAATATGGGTTGAACAAAACAGCAAATGAGGCAATCATTGTCATAGAGGCTTACCGTACTTTAAGAGATCGTGGTCCTTACCCCATTGATCAGGTTGTGAGAGATTTCCAAGGGAAATTTGCATTTATTCTGTATGACAGTAGTTCTAAAGCTGCATTTTTGGCTGTGGTGGGTAACCATTTCTTTCCTACCTCTATCCTTTCATGTATTTCCATTACTTTCCTCACAGGACTCTGTCTCAAGGCCGTGACTTTCTTGTATATTCAGAATGTTCAGACCTGAAAGCCTTGGAAGAGTGAAGTTATATTTCGATTACCTTGTCATCTGACCTGGCATGCATAAATTGGTCCTTTGCAGGATATTGATGGGAGTGTTCCCATCTTCTGGGGAACTGATGCTGATGGAAATCTTGTTCTTTCAGATGAAAAGGAGACTGTAATTAAGGGCTGTGGGAAATCTTTTGCCCCATTCCCTAAAGGTAATGCCAAGCTTGAATGTGATAGGATAATTGATCCTCTAAATCTTGTGTGGTTGGAAGATTTCCTGTGGATTTTCATTTGTATAAATTCACATGGCTGCTAATATGTGGGTATAATACGCAGAAATAAATGAAACTGAGTTAGAGTGATGTTAGGGATGACAAATTCATCAACTTAGGAACATTGGACTGATAGAAATTGATATGAATGACATTATTCGTGTCAGGATGTTCAGCATATCATACAACAACAACAACAACAAGCCTTTATCCCACTAGGTGGGGTCGGCTACATGGATGTTCAGCATATCATATCGAGTATATTTTTTCATTGCATCCTTTTCATGTATTCTTATCAAGTTTCCATGAGGTTTTTACAGATTGTCACTTTCATTGTTTCTTCCATATCATTCATATGCTTTCACTCATTTGATTCACATGTGTCTGGTGCAACAAACTAACACCTGTATTTTTACTCTTCTAGGATGCTTCTTCACATCATCTGGAGGTTTGAGGAGTTTTGAGCATCCACTTAACGAGTTGAGGCCCGTACCAAGGGTTGACAGCTCCGGTGAAGTATGCGGTGCAACTTTCAATGTCGATCCTGATGCCAAAAAGGAAAGTCCCAGCATGCCAAGAGTTGGGAGTGCTGCTAACTGGTCTAACTATTGATGATGCAGACCTGTTGTATCTGCACTAATTACCCACTTAAATTTCATAATCTGTTTCCATCATGAGAACTAGTGAGGCCTTAGTGAGTGCTAAGCTTTGTGACATTCATTTTATTTTCATGAAGCTTCACAGGGTGCTTAAGCTGTTGTTTTCTTATGCTAGACACTGAGTACGGTGAAGTTGATGGTTTCTGGGCACACGAAGCATGTAATATCAATAATATGGCCTTGAATACCCCTTTTTTTTTCCTGTATGTTAAGTAATATTCTGCCTCTGTATGGTTCATCTACTTTGGCTATAGTTTTATCTCTGCCCAGCTTATGATGTGTTAAGTATAATGTCAAACTGTGGCTCTTTAAAAGTCCAATGACGCCGAGAATCATCAAGGAATGCTAAAATTACAATATTTTAATTTTTAGCTGCTTGAAAAAGAAATATGCACCAAATCAGTCTGGCTTCTTCCGAGTAATGGATTTGTTTGCATGAGAGAGAGATAGAAAGAGGAAAGGAATATGAGTATTTTGCCCAGAGTGGATAAAGCCAAGAATTAGAGTCTATATCTTAATATGCATATATCTGTGTCGGTTTCTTTAATGATAAAGCACTCGTCTTTCCCCCTTCCCCCCTGAAGAAATTGCTTTAAGAAAATTATTTGAGTTATACTACAAATCCACTAGTAAGTTGTAATATTGCAGTTCATACAAATCCAGTTCACGCAAATTATACAAACCATGGTTTGCCATGTGAATTATAATAGTTTTATTTTTGTGAAAATATTTCTTTTAGAAAATTAATTTTATTTTGTAAATTAAATTTACTAAATGAAAACTAAATCTTTGTATGGGTTTTAATGAGATTAATTACTAATCATGAAAATAAAGATTTTATGAGTAGGCGGATTATTGTTAAAATGTGCTTATATTTTGGATGGGAAGGAGTAAAACTTTTGATCTTAATTTTTTTTGAAATTTAATTTTTATTAAACGAGTCATGAAAGTTCCATAACCATGCAAAATCACGGTCTTGGATTATAAATCTTGGAGTTAAATTGTGAAGGATAAGCCATCTTGCTCATAACCCGCCACGTGCTTTCCAAACTTGGATTAATTATTCATGGATATAAAATTCCTGGGCTTGATTTTGAAGGATCAAATCTATAACTGAATTTAATTTAAAAGATCAAATGTTTCATTTTCAGAGAGAGAGAGAGAGAGAGAGAGAGATATATATATATATATATATATATGAAACATTTGGACCATTAATCTTAAAATTGGACTTGGTTGGTTTAAATCCCTGCTTTCAGCAGCACTTTTGTGCTAAAGATCGAGGTCCGCCATAGCAACTATGTGATGATCATAGATATAAACTCAACGTTCTAGCAAATGACTAACAGATGTTAGATCTAATAAAAGGAGTCATTTATTCATAACATTGTGAATCAAGATTAATTCTCCAATAGAAGAATACCTGCAAGAAATTAAAAAAAAAAAAGATTTGGGTTGGGCTTAATTGTTAACACCTATTATTAAACATTTTCTTTCACATTTATATTGAAACAAATCTCTTTTACCTTACATAGTAAAGAATCGAACCCTAACCTCTACTTATATTTCATCTCACTTTTAGTCTTATTAACCCTAAGGGCCTAAGCTATTAAGTTCAGTTTTTCATTTTTAATCTCTTTTTTTAAGTCTAACTCTCATTCGAAGGGCTCAAAGCCAAGCTTGTAAGCCCTGTTTTAAAAAAATTAAAATAAAATTAAGTACTATAAATTAATTAAAATATTATAAAATTAAAAAAATTAAAATTCTTATAATTTTTTAAAAATTAAACAACATACATTTAGAAGTCTAGTAATAAAATTAAATCTTGGTTAAAAAATAGTTCATTTTTTTAAATACACAAATATAATAAATATAGAAAAATAAAAAATATCAAAAATTTTATACTATACATTGATATTTATTAAATTATATAAATTAATTTTAGAATAAATTAAAATTAATAATAATATAATGTGTGTAGGATCAGGGTTTCAAGTGAGTAGGTCCTTGGCTTCAAATGTGTGTTTCACCAAAGAAAAATAATAATAATAATAATAATAATAATAATAATAATATAATAGGGCTTGAAGGGCCATCCAAGTCATTTTTTACAGGGTTTATTAGAGCCATGCCTTCAAACCTGATTATTTTAAAAAATTATTTTAAAAATTCTTATTTAAACAGAGCCTCCTCGACCTTTATTTTCAACTCTAGTCATAGATAGCTTCATGGATGAATAAAAAGGGAGAATATCACCAAGTGGTATGGTATAAATGATAACGATCTAAGCCCTTTAAGTGTTATTATGAGGTTCGATTCATAAAGGTGTATATGGAAAAACATTGCTTAAGAAATGACAATATTTTAAATAATGCTTAAATTACTTGAAGGGTTATTCTCATCAACTCATGATTGTCGGCTATAGGGATACCTTAGGTAACAAAAGAAGAAGAAGAAGAATATCAATAAATGACCTTGCAAGAAATTCAATTTCTTAAAAAGATTTCTAACAAGTAAAGTTATTGTTTTAATAAATATTTGATCCATCAAATGTCCTTGTCGAATATTAAATTTTTGTAGGGGTGCTTCAATGATATTATCCCAATTAAAAAAAATTGCACAATCATCTTTTGCTTGTACAATAATTTAGGATCATCTTAACAAATGAACTGAACATAGCTCACTCCTCAATTGTTGAATTTGATTTGAGAGTAACTGAAAATAAAATTATGAGATTAATTACTAATTACTAGCACAAAAGTTGAATCACCCTCTGTATTAAAAAAGAAAAGTTTAAATTATCCTAATGTCCCCTGGCATCAAGCTTCGGATATTAGATTTCAATGACACTGAAATTTTTTACGTATGGAACGTCATAATCAATTTAGACAAATGAGCCATATGATTGCTAATCATGGAAGAAATTTTTCCAACAAGCACTCCTTTTAAGCATTATTAGTGACAACTTTAATCCAATTGATTGGTTCAAGTTTATTATAGTTTGGTTGGATAATTTTCTTATTTGTGCAGTCTATTTATTTAACTTTATTTTACTTCATACACAAATGGTTTATCCAATGATAATTACAAGAATTTGAATTTTATGGATATAAAAAATTTACATTGATAATGCATGTATATGATATGATATCATCAGAATCTAAATGAATGTATAAGAAAGAGATTGGTTCAGGCTTCACTAATCTTTTTTCTCACAAGCACTAAGAAATAATATCTAGAAAGTTTTTTCTTAAAAAATAGGCTAAAATATATACAATCATTTTGAATTTTAAGATATTTGTATATAACTCCCATCACCTTTAAATATTTAAAATTAATTTTATCTTCCAATGCGTCCTATCATTAATTAGCTCTATTATGTTATTAATAGAGTTCGTCATGTAAGATTAATGAAATACACATGACACATCACAAGGTAAAAATGTTTTTATTAATTTTTTAATACAATTTGAGGAGGAACAAAATTATACCCTTAACTTTTAACACATATGATTATGCTTTCAATTTTTTTTTAGTGGAGCAACATTTTTCTAATTATTCATGGTTAATTCATTTTAAGAGAAAACTATAATTTTATTATTTTTATAAATTAAAACAATATTTTATATTAAAAAATGAAAATAAAAATATTTAAAAACTGTTATTGATAAAAATTATATAAATAAAAATTTATCATTTAATACAAGAAAACGATGCACCATTGATAACAAAAAAAACATGGATAAAACTAATGAAAAAATAAATATATTAAAAAATAACATAATTTTTATACATTTATTATTTGAGAAACAACATAACATAGTAATTAACTATAGAGAGCATTGAAAAATAAAATTAAAGATTAGAAGGTTAATTTTAAATATTTAAAAATGAATGGTTCATGTATAACTGTTTTAAAATTTAGGAAGTTTTATACATTTTAATCTAAAAAATATACTAATCTTTTTAACATTTAAACTCTACTAAAGTATGTTAAAAAACATTGAAAAAATGAAAAAAGACACTGCAAATCTTACATTTTAGCTTGATTAGCTTAGTAATTCAAACAACATATTGTCACAATTTACAAATAATAAAGTATCAATATGCCCCAAAAAAAGTTCCCATTGAACTATCCAACCAAAAAATTATTGAAATCTTTTCAACCGTTTGTCATACTATACAACACTCAACTTATTCTCTGATTTCATGATAATTAATTACAAAGAACCATGCTAGGAGAATCCAATCACACCATAATTTACTTGGTTGCAAAAACACTCTTTATAATTTATTAAACACGATTATATTTCATAAATCTTATCATTTGATTCAATTCACATTGATATGTTTTATTCATATATTAATATATTCAAAGAGAAAATGTAAAATAAGATATCAGTGTACAATAAGAATGAGAATGAAGTTTCAAAAAAGGAAATTATAGACAATTAGGTCTTAGATAAAAAATTTTAAAAAATAAGTTACAAATATCAATTCAAACATTACAAATTTAAAAATTTAAATTATAAGTAAGGTATTTTAAATATAACTCTTAGTTTATAATTAAGATTTCTGTATATAACTATTTAAATCAATATTTATAACTTATTTTTAATATTAATTTATCAAAAATCTAATTGTTATTAATTTTTTTTATTTTAAAATATTATTGTCATTCTCCCTTATTTATGAGATCCATATTTTATTATTATACTCATTAATTTTTTTCTTTTTTTATTTCTCTGCAAATGTAAATCATCTTAATTTAATTTTGTAAACGTGTACAATAAAAACTCAATTTTTCTTTGAGATGATTGTTTGATTAGATTAAATTCAAGTATTATTAGATCTAATTGAGGATAAATTTTTTAAAATACTTTTTATATTAGCATAAACTCAAATTTAAAATAAAAATGATAATAAAATCTTTTTGAATTGTATAACTAATAATTTGATACCCCAAAATGCTATAATATCAATGAAGTTTCTAGTGACTTTTCTGACATTAAATAATTAATATAAACGGCTAAATTACCTTTAGTTCAAATATCAATTGTTATTCACAAATTTTTTTTCAAAAGTCACAACTTTTTTTTTGAAATTACAAAAATTCAACAGCAATTCATAAGTTTACATTTAAATGTTAATATATTTTTTAAATGTTACAAATATCAATTTCTATTTATAAATTTTATTTTAAAATTTATAACTTTTCTTCTTAAAATCGAAAGAATATAACAATAATTTGCAAGTTCATATTTAAAATCTTAAATTAAGGGTAATTTAGTTATTTATATTAATTTCTTAATGACAAAAATTTGTAGAGACTTCACAGAAATTATAACATTTTAAAGGATCAAAATATCATTTGTATAATTTTAAAAATATTATTGTCATTTTTTCAATTTCAAGCCTCGTGTATAAATGACCGCAACTATTTCACGCGTTCACGCTTCAACAAAGACATGAAAAATACATTGAAGCATATCAAACATACTCGTTAGTTGCCTAACATGCTTGTCTCCTATTATTAAACATCATATGTATATGTGTTAATTTGTCATGCTTTGCCGGCCGACCTTTTTTGTGTGTGTGGGTACTTTTTCCTCTTAATTCTGAAGCAAATTAATTATCCAAAAAAACTGCTTGTTTGTTTGTTTTTTATTAAGGCAAAGCATGGTGCCCACTTGTGACTTTGCCCAAGTTGTTTGAAATTCTAACATTCTCTACTTCAAATTATAAACCCATATTTTATTGAAAAATTATAATGTTTCATGAAATGATTTGAATGAAATTTTCAAGTTTGATAAGATATGTGAATGCAATGAACATAACATGGGCACATTAACCCCTTATTATTATTTTTTTAAGAAAAAATTAATCTTTTAGTTCTTCAACTTTTAACTCGCTTGTAATTCAGCCCTCAACTATGACTCACTGTGACTCAGTCTTTCAACTATAACTCGCTGTAACTTAATCCCTCAACTTTTGATTTACTTATAACTCGGTCCTTATTTTTTATTTTTTTAAAAAAATTCTTATCAAATAAAAGGGATGAAAAAATGCTTATATATTATTTTAAAATACCCTCCTTTTATTCATTGATGTGAGATATAAGCTAACATGAAAAAAAATTAACAAAAGTTAAGGGACTAATTTGTAAGTGATTCAAATGTTGAAGGACTGAGTCATAGGTGAGTTATAGTTGAGGGACTGAGTCACAGCGAGTTATAATTGAAGAATTGAGTTACAAGTGATTTAGTGTGTGTTTGGATTAAAAATTTTCAATTGAAGTTAGGATTCAACTGAGATTAGCAAACTAATGTTAGAAAAAATATCTATGACTTTAATGTGATTTTTATTTAGATACTTTTTTTTAAAAGTCAGTTTGATAAATTAAAATTTATTTGGATGATTTAATTCAAAAGTTAGTTTAAAAGTAAAATGATAAAAAAGGACATAAATTTTATTTTATATTTTTGTGATTAATTTAGTTTTTTAAAATGTATTAAACTTGTGATTAACCAACATTCTGTTTTAAAAAATAAACCTTTAAATTATAATTTTATTTTAAAAAAATAGAGTTAAGAAATCTAAATAAATTAATATATATTAAATAGGTTAATTAATTAGCGTATGTTTGGATAGTAGAGAAACACGCGTTTTCAGTCTAGAATTGATTTTTTGAACAAAATCACCCAAACAGCACAAAATGTAGAAATCGATTAAAAAGACAAAACGCGCGTTTTTCATAATCTCCTCTCACCAGCTTCCGCCAAAAGTTTGTCAAAAATGTTGGGGAAAATTACAAAGAAAGGCCCCAAAAAAAATTACAAAGAAAGCACATAATTTAATAAAAATAAAATTAATTCTCTTCTTTTTCCTTTTTTTTCTTAATAAAATTTAAACTTTGTATATTTAAAAAATTAATATTTGATATTTAAAAATTAAATTATATAGTAATTTATATAGTTAAAAATTAATTCTGATTAAATTATCCAAACATCTTCAATTCTGTTAAAATCAATTTTAGAAAAACAGTATCCAAACAGATTACGTTATAATATAATCAATTATGATTAAAATCTATCATTTAATCAATTATTTTCATAATCTATATACCCAACTGAAATTTAAACGGACCCTTAGAAATTCTTCTCCAACTTCTCTCCTGCTTTTTGTCAGTAAAACACAAGAAAAAGCTCTCCCTCTCATGCTGAACACTGATACAGAAATAAATAAAAATAAAAAATTTAAATGGATTAAATGCTTTTAATACTTAACGCTAACGCAAAAGCTATGAAAATGAGCTTTGAGAAAAAAGCTCATTTAGACTCTAATTTCAGTTGAAATTTTTTCTCAATCCAAACATGATTTTTATTTTGCAATGAGTTTTTAATATTTTCAACAGAGATTTGAGTCTTTCCAACTTTAGTTTGAAGCTAATCCAAACATAACCTTAAAAGTTAGAAGATTAAAAGATTAATTTTTTTAATCAAAACATCTTATATTTAAACTCATATTAGACTTTTGCTAATACAAGTTGAGATAAGTCAAGCTCTAAATTAGAGTACATTTTTAGAGATTTTTTTTATATCTACCCGAATTTAAAATGGAATCATAATGTCCCTTTCTATTATAGTCTTCTTGTGGTCATTTGTTTGTTTTCATGCCTCACATAAAAAGTGATATGCAGTATCGATTTGATTTTTTTTATTTCCCATGATTTAACTAATTTTAAATTTTAAATTTTGGAATACCAATCAATCTTATAAAAAAACTAAAAAAATACTAGTACAATATATGGAGTGTTATTCTTATAATTATAGACAAACAATATTGCATTCGTGTCAGCCTCTTATTTTACATTTTGGGAAAATCATGAATAAGGATGTCCAAAAAGTACAAATAACCATTCAAGACTACAAAATTATAAAATTAAATCTTAGGACTACAGTTCTTTTCGATAATTAACCATTCAAGAGTTTATTGTACTATTATCCTTCATGTATTACAAAACGAAGCAATATGACCTTTTCATTAAATATCTCTTAATTTAACTATTATTAACCCAAAAAAATTACGTATAATAATCTAAAAAATTACAGAAAAGGGTCTTATAAGATAATTAATTATGATTAACTATATTAAATTATAAATAAATTTCAATAGATTAATATTAATTCTTGCCTATATAAAAGATTAAAAATATAATTTTAACCAAGATTTTGACCAAAATTAGTATCAATTTTCTTATAAATTCCTCTTCTATAATTTTCTAGGTTCTTCTTTATAATTTTTTGGATTAACTAATAGTCAACTTAATGGATATTTAATAAAGAAACGATATTGTTATGTTTTTTAACACGTGAAAGGCATATTGCACCGCCCTTGGCTTTAGTGGATCTGAAAAAAAATTCAAGAGTAAATTAACAATTTAACCCATAATTATATAATAAGTGATAAAAATTTTATTATACTAAAATATGCATATAGTTATCAGGAAAAATATTACCATTATGTGTATTCCTTCCATCTCAATTCATAATATACTTTCAGATAAAATCACACACACTAATAAAGCTCATTAAATATATTTTGTATATTATTTTTTTAAGTTAAAAATATATTTTTTTTTCAAAAATACTTTTTGTTTAATACTCTATGGGTATTAAAGAAAGATAATATAATAATAAGAGTAATATTCAAAAAATATTATTAATAAAATTTTATTTTTTATCAAAATATTTTATGTTGATATGTTAAATATCCTTTGAAAATGTTTTATAAGTTGACATGGAGGTAGTATTATGTAATTAACATCTAACTAAGGCAATATAATGCTGAACTAACTAATCGGACATCCCTGATGTTTTTTTAAGCTGACCCGCTTATTAAATCTCCCAGCCGCAGCCTCTGTTGACCTTTGACCACCGTGGGTGAGTAAAAATAGGAAAAATAATTTGAGTGTAACAAATTAATAACAATTGCTTTTGTGAAAAAAAGAAAAATTCTGATTAATAAGTCATAATATTGATTGAGACAATAGAAAACATAAATTTCAGTCACAGCCGGAGTGTTTTATTTAAAGCTTAAATATTTTATTTATAATTTTTTAATTTTGTAGTATTTGTAATTTATTTTTAAAAAATTATTGAAAATCTAATAATCATTAATTCACTTACTTGTACTAATTTAACTGTCACTTTTAACTACTTCATAAATAATAAAAATTAATTAAAACTGGGTAGTATCATTAAAATGGTAAAATATGTCTCTATTTTTCACCATAACTCCTAATTAAAACAATATATTTTAATTATCTTTAACTCTTTTTTTTAATATAATCTCTTTTACAATGCAATGAACGAGTAGCTTGCATACAAGACTGCGGCATAAGTGAAGTGAGGCCATTATCGTCTTTTCATTTATCGCCTTTCGTTAGCACCAAAAACACGGCGCGCTGGTTCGATGCAGAATATAAATATTCAAATCGCTGCAATTGCAGCGTCTGGATTCTAGGGTTTCTCTGCCTACAATAGCAGAGCAAACCTACCATAATTATTCCTCATTTTTCGTCATAAATTTCCTTTTTTCTCCGTTCTTTCAAATTTTCTCACTTCCCGAAGTTCTTCTGTCCTTCATACCTGATTTTTGCCTCTCATGTGAAACTTATCAATTTCCATATCCTTTTCGTCGACTTCAATTTCTGCTAGCTACACATGAAGCTTCTTAAGTCTGAGGAAACCGCCTCTGAGGCTTGCGACTTTCCGGAGGAAACCCAAGAAGACAAACCCTCGGGTTCTTCTGTGGTTGAAGGCAATGACCGTGGTCTTGATAATGGTGATGCGGTTCTCGATGTCTTTGGGAAAACCGTGGAGTTCCCGGTATTAGAGAACGCTGAAGACTCTGTGGAGGGCTTGTATTTTTATAAGAATGTTTACAATTTGATCCCCAAGTCTCTGGGAGGTCTTGCTCGGTTGAAGACATTGAAGTTCTTTGGGAATGAGATCAATTTGTTTGCGCCGGAGTTCGGAAACTTGACGGGCTTGGAGTGCTTGCAGATGAAGATATCTTCGCCTGGGATTGGTGGGTTGCCATTGCAAAAGTTGAAGGGTTTGAAGGAGCTAGAGTTGTCCAAAGTGCCTCCGCGGCCTTCTGCGTTCCCTATATTGACTGAGGTTGCCGGTCTTGATTCCTTGACCAAGCTATCCATTTGCCACTTTTCTATAAGGTTGGTAATTCAATTGAGCTATTTGTTCAATGGTAATTTGATAGGTAAGAATAATTTGGAATGATAGAAAACTGAGAGAGAGAGGAAATCGATGAGAGAAGAACAGGAAGGTAGAGAGAGCGGAGAAGAAAGAGAGATTAAAGAGGAGAAGTTGAGAGAGATTGAGAAGTAGCGGTGTCACTGAATAATACGTCCTCTTTCATAAAAACATCAAAATACAATTATCAGCCTATATATAGACGTCCCTTCTCAACGCTCTTCCCAACGGCTATATTAACTAACTAACTAAATAACTAACCAATTATATCCTAGTTACAATTTTATAACAACTCCCCCCCTCAAAGAGATCCTTGCCCTCAAGGATCAGTAATAACAAATTGAGGAAATTGCTGCTGAAACTGATGCAAAGCTGTCCAGCATGCTTCTTCCTCTGGTAATTGCTTCCACTTGACCAAAATTTCAGTAATTATCCTCCTCTTTTTCCGGCCAACTCTTTTCTGCAAAATGCATTGGGGTTCTAAAACAGGAGGTATTTCAAGCCAGTCAAGAGATGGATGCCTCTGCTTGACTTGAAGATCAGGACATAGCTTCAATAGGGATACATGAAAGGTTGCATGTATTCTAGAATCAGGTGGTAGTTCTAACTTGGACGCCACTGCTCCAACTCTTTGAATCACTTTGTAAGGACCAAAATATCGAGGAGCCAATTTTTGGTTACTCCTAGAAACTGCAGAAAGTTGTCTATAGGGTCGTAACTTTAAGAAAACCCATTGTCCCACTGCAAATTCCCGATCAGATCTGTGTGAATCTGCCCTTTGCTTCATCATAGATGATGTTTGAGAACAGCTATCATCTCTTCTCTTGCTGTGAATGACCTATCCACAGCATCTAGCACACTATTATGAGGTAAATAAGGAGAATGGAGAGGAGGTTTCTGACCGTATAGAAGTTCATAGGGAGTAGCCTTAGTTGCTGTGTGAAAAGTGGTATTATACCACCACTCTACATGAGACAACCACTTACTCCACTGCTTGGGCTGTTCCCAACACATACATCGAAGGTAGGTTCCCAAAGAACAATTAAGCACTTCGGACTGACCATCCGTTTGAGGGTGATAAGCAGTGGAAAGAAGTTGCTTTACCCCCAAAACCTACAAAAACTCTTTCCAAAAGCCACTAACAAATAAAGGGTCATAATCACTAATAATTTCAGATGGTGCTCCATGTAATTTGTAAACCTGATCCATAAAAATTTGAGCTAAAATAGAAGCTGAAAAGGGATGAGTGAGTGGTAAAAAGTGTGCATGCTTACTCATATGGTCAATTACTACCCAAATAGTGTCCTTTCCCAAGGGTTTAGGGAGTCCTTCAATAAAATCTATAGTGTTACTCTCCCATACCTTAACCTTGCTAGGAATAGGCAAAGGCTGTAATAGTCTAGGGGCAGCAAAATTTTTCATGACAGTAGAAGCACAAATTTTTTCTTCTGTGCTTAGCTTCTTTGTCCACAGAAAGAATTTTAGGAACATTATCGACCAATTTTTGAGTAATTGGGACACTTTTCTTAAGTAAAGAGGGTGTCTTTCCTTTAGTATGGGATCCACTGCCCTTATAGGGAGCCCATGTGTTTGACTGGAAGGGTTGTGTGGCTGGTGCTGAGGGTTGGGTGGCCAAAACTGAGGGGGCCACGTATCTAAAGTTGGGAAACGGGTAGACCTGGCTTATATGGGCTCGGCCCTGATGGGCCTAAGCCCGAAAGCCCAGTTATCCCAATTTCACCCAAAAGTTGAGGCCCGACCCTTATTCAAAGGGCTTAGGGTTGAGCCCATAAACCCGTTTACGGAAAAAAATAAAATAAAATTTAACATTTTAATTTACTTAGAGTATTCTAAAATTCAAAATACATCAAACCAAAGTCTCACATAATTTAAAAAATAAACTCAAGATTTAGAAGTCCAAATAAGATAAAGACAAAAGTCATCATCAATGCTAATCAAGATCTCCCTCAGCATCATCCACAAATAAAATGTTATTTCCAACTCTGTTATAGGTCTGAGAGTGAGAGAGTGAAAGACTGAGTACGAGTGTGCTGCGTAGGGTTTCTTTGGAGGTTGAAAGTCCAACCTCAATTCGGCCACTCTCCAAAGTCCAACATAGAAGGAAAAAAAAAGTTAAACGGGTTTGACGGGCCGCCCGGGCCCGAGCCCCTTTTTTTAGGGCTTAAAAGGGCCAGGCTTTGAAGCTCGGTTATCTTAAAAAACATCAAATTTTCAAGCTCAAGCCCTTATTAAAATGGGCTTAAATGGGCGGCCCACTAGGCTCGGCCCTTATTTCCAACTCTACACGTATCCTCCCCCTTTATTCTGGCTTTTCTTCTTGGTCTGTCTTTGAAATATGATTTCTTGCATTCTCGCAAGCTTCTGAGCCTCTCTCAGGGTCCGAGGTTTGAAGAGGCGGACTGGACCTTCATATTCCTCTCGAAGACCCAAGAGATACATGTCCACCAAATACTCTTCTGGCAGTTGCAGCTTACATGCGATCATATCAAACTCATCATAATACTCGGCTAGAACTCCTCGTTGCTTCAGACGAGCTAAATCGCTCATCGGGGTCTCATGAATAGGTCTGAAACGATCTTTCACTTCTTCTATATTCTTCCCAGGTCAGCCAAACTCCTTCCCATGATTTCTCATAAGCTTGATGCCATTGGAAGGCTCTTGGGTCAAGATGCATGCTCGCTATCTTGATCTTGGTTTCTTCTGGCGTCTCATCAAGCTTGAAATTTCGCTCGCATTTCATAATCCAGCCTAGAACGTCTTCCTGAGTAAACTTTGGGAATTCCATCTTCGTGAACTGAGTGGGCCTTCTATATTCTCTTCGTTCATACCCATCTTTGTGTCTATGGTCCTCATGCTTGTGATGACGTTCAGCAATATGTTCGTTTTGGTGGTGGCCTTCTCTTTTAGCCTCTCGGTCCCTTACCAAGGACTGAAGTTGTTGGGAAAGCCCATCAACCAATTCTATCAAAGCATCAATCTTTCCATTGTTTTCTTTGATCTTGACCATGAAATCTTCCATTTCTTGTCGGCTTTGTTGGTTTCTGCTGCGCGTCTTGACTGTGAACTGTGATTGGAGATATAGAAAGGGAGCCAAGGAGCATCTGCTCTGATACCATTGATAGATAAGAATAATTTGGAATGATAGAAAATTGAGAGAGAGCAGAAATTGATGAGAGAAGAACAGGAAGGTAGAGAGAGCAGAGAAGAAAAAAAGATTAAAGGGGAGAAGTTGAGAGAGATTGAGAAGTAGCGGTGTCACTGAATAATACGTCTTCTTTCATAAAAACATCAAAATACAATTATCAGCCTATGTATAGATGTCCCTTTCCAACGCTCTTCCCAACGACTATATTAACTAACTAACTAATCAATTATATCCTAATTTCAATTTTATAACATAATTTTTGCTTTCGTTGGCAGCTAATGTATGTGCGGAATGCTTGAGTTGGATTGCCAACTTTCCCTGTTTCAAGTTTAAACAGTGCCTATTGGGTTCAATTAAAATCGGAACCTTCCACATTATAATCATCTCTCCTTCGTCTAGCCAATTCTTTTCCCCTCCCAAAGTAATTGCACTAGATTAGCGAGTATTCACATGGTGGAGAATATTGAAAGCAACTATGCTGATAGTTTGATTGCATTTGTGGTGACATGGTTATAATTTATTATTTATCTAGTTTGATGCATATTTACTTTCTTTTGGGACTAAATACTTGATCATGCCATCATAGTGCGATCAATTAGTTTCAATTATTTATTTGATGTATATCAACAGTTCAAGCTTTGCTTTTTGAGACTTCAGGCCTAGAATGAATAAGTCATGACTCAATCTCTGAGCATTTCCAATTATAAATCGAATTCAGATATACGCATCGATCTTGGTGATTGATATATTTGTTAACTTGTCTTGATTATTGAAGAATACGGTAACTTATGTTGATAAAATAAACTTGTCATATCTGGTTGGTTTCTTACCAACACTGATTTGGTGGTTTTCCCCCTTTTCTCTGGGCGTGTTTAGATGAAGTTTTGATTTTCAAGCTACAACTCTTGATTATTATGTGAAAAATTTGCTGCCTTATGATTTCAAATGGTCCACTGTTTGGAATATTTTTTGAATTTTGCTTATAATTAAGGAACCAGAGGAGTTGAGGAAGAATGAAAACGGCTTTTTATTATGATATCAATTTGGCACACCATTAAGAGGTTAACTTTGAAAAGCACTTGTGTGAATGCATTGTTTGTACATGAGCAGTTTTCACGTTGTCAACTTTTAAAAGTGGCAGGACGTGATATGGATGGTAAATTGGACTCCATACTCTGCCAGGAATATTGAATGTTTCTAGATACAGTAAAATCCCTATATCCCGTCATAGGTTTAATTTGACACTTGATTGCAGTTCTGTTTTAGACGTTTAATTTATTAGCTGATAGTATCATTAACAGCATCCTTAATTTATTTCACAAGCCTCATGATTTATCATTTTACTACTCATTTGGTGTTTAGTTGGATCATTAGCATTTTCAGTGCACTGTCTATTTCTCAGTGTTTTTAGTTCTAATTCATTTTGCTTTCTGTTTTGCCGTAGATACCTTCCTCCTGAAATTGGCCTCTTAAAGAAACTGGAGTATCTTGATCTTTCATTCAATAAGATGAAGACATTGCCCTCTGAAATCAGTTATTTGAATGGCTTGATATCTTTGAAAGTTTCCAATAATAAGTTGGTGGAACTACCATCAACTATGGCCTCTCTGTCAGGGCTTGAGAACTTGGACCTGTCAAATAATAGGTTGACTTCATTGGGGCCTCTTGAGCTAGGGTCTATGCATAAACTTCAGAATTTAAATCTTCAGGTACCTAAGTATGATCTTTTTGGATCACAGTGCTTTGTCTGCTAGATATTGAGATTTTTTCCTCATACATGTTGTCCTGTGCTTTTCTTTTCTTTCTTTCTTTTTTGCACCTGACTTTTCTTGGTCATTTTATGTTCTGAATATATCTTATGATCTTTTTAAGATATTGCTTAATATGTTTGTAACTTGTGTATTTTAACTACATCTTATAACGCAAGTTATATATTTTTATTCAAATCATTGTGTTGAATGAAATGTTGCGTTTTTTAATTTGTTTTTATTGGTTAGTTTAGCTATGCGTGTGCTAGTGTATGATATGCTCTGTTTTTCTTTCCCAAGTATTTGGTTTAAAATTGTTTAACATGGTGGCATCTGACAGTGTTGGACATGGGGGGACCCCAGAATGAAGGTGCCTTTGTGCATCCAAGGTATTAATTTTGTAGCTATTAGTAGAACTTGCCTATGAAGCAAAACATGATGACTTGGGGCCTTTATGCACATGCATGTGCACACACATAACCATCTATACTTCTGTTTTGTATGTTTGTAATTGTATAATTTAAAAATTTGGCATTGTGTTAGTGGGGTCTTTTCATGTTCTTCTTGGTCATATGAATTTAACACCTTTGATTTTTTATTGTTAAGTTCAATAAGCTGCGCAACATGCTTCAGATACCTTCATGGATTTGCTGTAATATGGAAGGAAATGACAAAGGTGAAAGCAGTGATGATTTTAGCAGTTCTTCTGTAGAAATGGATGTCAATGAAACTAGTTCACTAGAGAATGATGGACTACTTTCACATGGTGAGGCTTTTAGATTAACCTTTGGTTTTGGAATCACCTTTTTCTTCTGGGCAGTCTTCCCTTTTTCATCATTTCAGTTCATATATGTGGAGCAAAAGTTACACATGTTATTTCTTTTTGCAGCACCTCGTAATAGCTCATCAAGCCTATTAACCAGCTCTTCATCCAGCAGTAGATGTTTTGCAACCCATAAATCAGGTAAAAGGTGGAAGCGGCAGCGCTACTTACAGCAGAAAGCCCGACAGGAATGCTTAAACAATAGCAGGAAGTGGAAAGGTTTAAATAAATCACAGCCGATCGAGATGTCTGGAATTTGTGAATCAGAAAACAAAGGCAGTCTTGCTCTTGAAAACTGCAGAGAAGCTCCACCAGACAGTGCGGGTCTGGATGATGAAGCTAAAAGGATGGTCTCAGAGGAAACTGGGAATGAAAATGTAATTGATGTTAACAATAACGAAGTGGGTATTGAGAAGCAGTTTTCTAAGGATTGCTGTTCTAGTAAAAGTGAAGATGAAAAAGATGCGTCCCTTTGCCCCTTGGAGAATGGACCTAGTGGGCAGGACAATGTATCAAGTTCAGAATCTTTGAAGCATATTTCTAAATCAAAGAGACATTCAGAAAGAGATCTTGATAATCCTAAACCATGCAAGTCTAGAAAACCAATTGGTGATAGCTCATCTTTGTCTTACAAGTATAGTAGATTATCATTTTGTGGCACTGAAGACCATATGCCAGATGGCTTTTATGATGCTGGACGTGATCAACCTTTTATGTCCCTTGAGAGTTATGAGCAAAATCATTGTCTTGCCTCTCGTGAAGTCATCTTGTTGGACAGGTTTGTTATATATTTTTTTTACTATTTATTAGTAAACGAACTAGAAGTTACTCCTTGCAAATGCATGTGAATTTTTATTTTATGTACATTTTTAAGAAAAAATAATCATTACATGTACAATAATATTACCGTAATTATTGATTCTATTATATATGTACATTACACAAAATTTGAATGGAGATGGTAAAATTTAGATGAAAGATGAAAATATTGTAGAGGAAAAAATGCATGGAGCTCAGCAGTAAAACTACAGTATTCATGTATTTTTATCTATTATAGTAGATTGGTCATAGTTATAATTAGTACTACTATTACATGAAGTCTGTACTATCTACTTTGACATGGCCGTTCAAAACATTTTCGTGGGTGCAGAGTGTTATGATAATTATGTTGGCTTTTTCACAATGTTTGTTTGTTCTCTATCAGAGAAAAAGATGAAGAACTGGATGCCATCACACTCTCTGCTCAGTCATTGGTGTTTCATTTGAAGCAGTTAAATGATGTTGCCAAACATGGGAACAAAGCTGCTCTTGACAGCTTTCAGGTTGCTTCATTTCTTGCACTCTTTGTATCAGATCATTTTGGGGGCAATGATAGAGGTGCTATTGTTGAAAGGACACGAAAATCAGTTTCTGGTTCAAACTATCACAAGCCTTTTGTCTGTACATGCTCAACTGGAAGCAGCAGTGATGTTAGTGCTTCTTCTAAACTAGTTGTAAACAGTGCAGAAGACATTACTCTTACTAATATCTGTGAAAAATCTCTCGAGTCCATAAAAAGAAGACGAAGTTCTATCATAGTTCCCATTGGATCTGTGCAGTTTGGCGTGTGTAGACATAGAGCTCTGCTTTTGAAGGTAATCATTGTTGCTTAATTCATATTACTATACTGCATGTACTTTTGTTTGCTGTAATTACTAGTGTGCACCTATGATGACCTAATACAATTTCTGTTAGTGCAGTATTTATGTGATCGCATGGAACCTCCCATACCTTGTGAGCTTGTTAGGGGTTTCTTGGATTTTTCACCACATGCCTGGAACACCATTGTGGTTAATAGAGGTGATACCCAGGTTAGAATGTTAGTTGATGCATGCCGGCCACATGACATAAGAGAAGAGGAAGACCCTGAGTTCTTTTGCAGGTCTGTACTTTTTACCTTGACTAGCATTTCTTTATCTTGTAAAATGTGATTTTGTTTTTGTTGAGAATCAAGATAAACCATATATAGGTGAATATTAGGGCTTGTTTGAAACTATTTTTGCTTTATTGTTCTGAGAACTAGTATTTTGTATAACATATTTTGAGAAAAAAATAATAAAAACAGATGTTGTTCGCATTCTCTCTTGTTTTTCAGAATAATAATATCAAAACACTTAAAAGATGTTTTTTTTTCTTCCTTCAAAATATTTTTTTGAAAACAAATTACCAAATAGATTTTTTTGTTTTTGTTTTTGTTTTGGAGAACAAAAAATTGTTCTCAGAATAGGTTGTTAAAGAAGCCCTTAGTCATTCTTAGTTGCTTGCTAAAGCATAGCTTTTGGCATTCTCTTATTTTTGTATGAGTTCCTATAGCATGCAAAACATGTTGCTTGGTGTTTGAAATTGTTTATAATCAGTGGTGATGGAGTGAGTCAAATTTTCTTTTTCTATTCTCAAGTAGTCCTTAATTTCTTTGTAGAAGCAAACTCTGAACAGTTTCATTTAAACTTTTATAGGCCAATGTGAAGTGTGCACGGTTGCCTGAAATTGTGCATAAGCAACTTTTAGTGCTTTAAATATTGCATATACCTATGCCCTAGCTTGATATGGTTCTTAATGGTGTTAGGCGTATCTCTCTCACTGTAATAAAATCGTGGTTTTCAAAAATCTAATTCCTACCTAAAAGTGGCTGAGGGGCTCCCAAATCATATCATGTTGAAATAAAAGTTTCTACCTTATAATCTTATATACCAAAGAAAAACTGATAATTGAAAAAAAGTTTCTAACTATCATCAAGATCACTGTAGACTCAAAAAAATCTAATGAATACATTAATACTTGATAATTAATTAATAAATCATTGGTGTAATTAAAAATCATAGCCATGACGTTAATTTTTCATGTGCTCATACGCGGATGCAAATTGAGAGGTTATATGGTTAAAGAAAATGGAAAACATGAGCAAACTATTGAAGTGATTGTCTTTGCTTCTATAGTCTATGGGTTCCTTTCAGTCTTGCCAGGTTGTCTCATATGGATGAAATTTGGACTTCGGATCTTATGATCTAACAGTAAGTCCAATAGCATGCTAGTGCTCATAGACATAGATCAGTTTGCCCCTGTGAAATGTAGAATGTTATGGTTCCTTAATTGAGACTGACAATTTGGTAATTTCTTTAATTTTTAGATTGAACTGTGTGAAGAATAATTGTATTATCATACAAATAAAGCATATAATTTACGGTTTCACGCAAGCATAAAAAATATTGTGGCTCTATATTATCAGATAGGCATGCTACTTTGAGTTCCTGAATGAATGTCACTGTGCTGTACAAGCGTTGCTTGGAAGTGTGTTGAATTCTAGGATTGGTGAAATTTATATTGATTTTTTGGAATCTGATGACTTGTTTTTTTATTTCAGGTATATACCTCTTAGTCGAACCAAAGTTCCTATTTCACCTGATGGAACTCCTGGTCCTGGTTGTTCATTTCCATCTCTCTCTACATGTGATGAATTTGAGAAGGCTTCTTCAAGTACCTTAGTTCGGTGTAAATTTGGTTCAATTGAGGCTGCAGCAAAGGTGGGTACCTAAAGTCTTGTTGGGACTTTAGCTTGTTCTGTTCGTATGGAACTCTAATTATTGGCGTGTAATATGTCTTAATATGAATTTATTGCATAATGTTAATGGGTGATTTGGATTGCAGTAGATGGGAAGAGGTGGTGCTTTCTTATCTGGTTGTTCTGATTATTTCTTTATAATATATCTATAATGCATATTATCTGTGATGTTGTGATGTTTCAGGTGCGTACTTTGGAAGTGAAGGAGAGTTCGCCAGACAAAGTAAAAAACTTTGAATATAATTGTTTGGGAGAAGTGAGAATCCTAGGTGCTCTGAAACACCCCTGTATAGTTGAAATGTATGGACACCAAATATCTTACAAGTGGACTCTTTCGGAGGATGGTAAACCTGAGCATTGCTTATTAAGGTCTGCAATTTTTATGGAGTACATAGAAGGGGGCTCTTTAAGAGTAAGCTAGCTTATATTCCTTTGTTATTGTTGGCAATTTTTTTAAAAAATGTTTGTGATTTGTCCCTTCCTATTCCATCAGACCTATCTTGACAAGTTATCAAAAGCTGGAGAAAAGCATGTTCCAGTGGAGTTGGCTTTTTATATTGCCAAAGATGTTGCGTGTGCATTGTCAGAGCTGCACTCGAAACACATAATTCATCGTGACATAAAAAGTGAGAACATTCTGATTGCTTTGGAAAGAAAGAAAGATGATGGCACCCCTACTGTGAAGCTTTGTGATTTTGATAGTGCGGTGCCACTTAGATCACCTTTGCATAGCTGCTGTATTGCTCATGTGGGAACACCTCCTCCTTATGTATGCACTGGAACACCACGATGGATGGCTCCAGAGGTTATGCGAACTATGTATAAAGAAAATACTTATGGACTGGTAAGATTCTTTTCTTGATTATCTAAACTCTTGAGCTTATTATTGATCCATTTATTTGGTTAATGTCATTCTAGGTTTACACTTTGCATTTGTTAAATATAAGCAATTTAAATGTGCAACTCTCTAGGGACGAATTTTACATTGAGAAGAATATCTAGCTTGTTCACTATTCGTTCCTTCCTTCCTTGTCTATTTCTTTGTTGTATTCCTAGCTAGTTTCAAATGTGAGTGCATATATTGTTTGTGAACATTGAATTCATAATTTCATTTACAAGTGATAATAGTTTGTTTGCTTTGTACTTTGATGTTTATTATAATCAACATAATTTTCATATTGAAAATGATTCAATCTACTTTATGTCCATGTTAAAATTGCTTTTTGACCAGATATATTATGTATTGGTTGTAATGCTTGTAACAGGAAGCTGATATCTGGTCATTTGGATGCTTGCTTCTGGAACTTCTCACGCTTCGTATTCCATATTCTGGGCTACCTGATTTACAATTCCATGACATTTTACAGGTTTGCTCACCCCTTTCATTCTCAGAAAAGCAGACAATAACATATGGTAGTTGAAATATTCTATCTTGAATGACTAAATTTTTCTCCTATGATCTTTTCAGATGGGTAAACCACCACAGTTAACTGAAGAACTGGAGGCCCTGTGTTCGCTAAACGAACCCACAATGATTCAATCCAGTGATGAGCCGGAAAAATCAGATACTGAAGTAGACACGATGAAATTCCTTGTTGATTTGTTTCGTAAGTGTGTGGAAGAAAATCCAGCCAAACGGCCTACAGCAAAAGAAATCTATGAAATGCTTCTTGAACAAACAGGCCGTCTAAAAGTTGAAGATGTTAGGAAGAGTTAGGTTGTCACTTGTTAGTTTGGTTGACCCCCTCTCCTTCTGGCAGAAGATCACAGTCCCTTAGTGTTGTATCATTGGAACAAAGAATCTCCAATTTTTTCAAGAATAATTTTCTCCCTATAGTGTCTGCAGTGAATAATAATATCATTATGTACAATTCCATTCCAGGATGTTAGATTCAGGTGGCTCTTTTCAATCTGATTGAGATCTGTAAAATTTTGTAGCTAGGTCTCTTTTCAGGCTGCCAATGGTGAGAAGTTAATGTAGGGTATACTTACGCTGTCTCTGGATCTGATTAATTTGTTCAAAGCCTTCCTGATTCTGGTAGGCTTGCCTTGAAATTTGCCTACAAAATTCTGTTTCTGGTTTTTCTCGGTTTCTAAGATGGAGCTTGCCGTAGTACTAGTAATCCCTCGATGATCATACATACAAACCATGTTATATTATCCATGATCTAATTTCATATTTTGTTGTGGACCTTTTCTTTTATCTTGGATTTTATCTTTTATTTTTGCAAAAAAAGAAAGAAAGAAAGAAAGAAAACTTGACGTCTTCTGTTCTTTAGCCTTGAGGGTTTTCTTCCCTTATGGTATGAAATAAAAGCACGTTTGTGGCTGTTAATTGTTTATTTTGTAGGATTTTATGTCCTTGCTTAGTTAATGTTAATGTCCGACCACAACAGAGGTTTTTGAAATGGATGATTAAAAATCTCTTCTTGAAAATGGCCTAATTATCTTTTCCTCTGTATTGTGTGCAAGGATGTTGAATATTTTTGGAACAAATGGTAAAAAATTGTTGCTTCCAACAAAATCCACCAATTATGAACTATAAAATGTATATAACTTTTATTATGGGTAGGTTATGAATAATGTGATTTATTTTTTAAAATATAATGTATGAATTATCTATTTTATTAATATCAATGTGAAATATATAATTTATACTCTTGTCTTATCATATGGCATTTCTCTTGATTTTATGTCTTTTTTTTTAATCTTTTTATTCTTATTAAAAGCTGAGAAAGTTATTAAATGATGGTGTGTTTTAAGAATAAAGTGGAGAACTTAAATTTGTAAACAAAGTTTTCTTGATTTTTGGTGCGAGGACATGTCAAAGTATAATCTCATAGTAGTGTTTAGTGAAGGTTAAAAAAATGAAAGTGGTGGTTGAAGGGTAACACAGTAAACAATAATTTTACACAGTAATATAATTGAAGGTTGCAGGCAGGCCTCCAAGTTGTAGTGTAATGCTTTGACATTTGACCAGCTTTCACATGCTCCATTTGTTGTCATGATAATAACCCTACTCAGCTTTAACAAAAAGAAAAAGTCAGCGTCCTTTTTCATTTTTCTAAAAAAATTGTTTAATATTAATAACAAGAACAACAATAATAGTGAATTACAGAGTGATGCATTATTGGTCTCAGAAGTTGATTTTGTTTAATGGAGGCCTGAAGATGCTTCCCCTGTCAACTCTTTTCTGTTCCCTTTTTCAGTGACCACCTCAAGCAATGCTCAACACAGGCAAGACATGACAGGGAGTCCATTTCTCTTTATTTTTATAACTAAATTCTCTTTATTTTATATATATGTATGTATGTACGTACTTGGAAAACAGACGGGTCAAAAAGCCTAATTATTCAATAGATCATACCGATTTCAAAGCCTGACTCATGAGCTCGTGAGGACCAACCCCAATGGCTTCATGCTCGTTTAATTATTTTTTGAATTTCTTAAAATAAATAAATAATAAATTAAATTACAAATAATCAAATATTAACCAATTAAAATACCAAGTCATTGTTCAAACTTTTAAAATCAAATCAAGCAAAGCTAATTAAACCAAACAACTCTTCTCTAGATATCAATAATACCCAAACATTTCCAGCATTATCATGATCATTATCATCTTCAAAAATATCATGACTTTCATGACTTTCTTTTTTGTTTAAGCTAGGATTTTTTTTTTCTTTTTAACATTTTTACTCTTTTTTTTCATATCTCTCCCTCCATGTTTACTAAATGTTAATAAATTTTTTCTATAAAAAAAATACATACAAGATTAAATGGGACAGCTCATTTATTTTTAATGCCATTAAGGCCAACCTATTTAAGCCTAATTAAACATTGATGCACCTAAATCTCAAGCTCAACCCTCCATTTAGAAGAGCTCAGCCTATTTTTTGGGCTCTATATAATAATTGTGAAAGGTTTAAGGGAAAATACAGCAGTGGGTCTATGTACTTTGACTATGTTTTGTTTTTAATCATGCTATTTAGTTGTTCCTAGTCCCTTTAGTTTAATTCATTTGCAATATTAGTTTTTACAGTTTTAAAAATACATGTGAGGACCACGATCGAGCTAACACGACGGAATAAATGTTGCTAATATGTACTTAACTCTGATAACTCTTTTACAGCTTTACTTAAAAGGACTTAACCTTGCATTTGTCTCCCACGTGTTGTTTGAGTCAAATATAAACGAAAGCTTTATTCCTTTATCTTTTTATTTTTAGGGTTAATTTATTTCCATGCCATCATATTTTTACCGTGTCAACTCCGTTAATACCAGCCCATGGTTTTAATGTGTATTTTTAAACCTATATGAACTAATATTATAAATTAATCGTCTACCAAAAACACCGTTATGCACTAATCAAACCAAAGGGACTAGAATCGAATGAAATAAAATTATATGAATTAAAAAAATTCATATTTTCCCAAGGCTTAAAGTAAGACATTTTTTATAAATATTAGGATTTACTTTAAATTTTATATTATTTATATCTATTTTAGTTATGTAAGAGGTTATTTTAACATAATATCATTAGAATGAGTCAAATTTATTTTGCTTTGTTGCCTTTCTAATTTTAAGTTATTGAAATAAATAATATTAACATTAATTTTAATATTTATTTTTTTATTTTTACAAATATTCTCTTATTTAAAACAATCCTTATTCGACACAACATCAATCACTAAACATGAATGCCTTTTTCAATAAAAATTCAAATCTTTATTCCTCATGTTGTAGAAGCTAACCCCTTCTACTAAAGTTAAACCCAACCTGGTTAGCATTTTAATATTTACTTTAATACGAAACATAAAATCTATAATAACTCATATTCTTTATAATTTATAAATAATATGATTTCATTTAGGGAAAATGACAATAAAATTTTTTTAATATATAGAAATGATTATTTGATCCATCAAAATATCATAAGTCCCTTGAAGTCCTTAGAGACTTTTTTTCATTAATAAATTTATATAAATTACTAAATTGCTTTTATTAAAAATAAATGATTCACAACTTTCCTTCTTATATTCACAACAATATAACAGCAAATAAAAAATTTAACATGTAAAGTTGTGATTTCTTATTGCATTGTTGTAAAATTTAAGAAAAAAGTTGTGAATATAAAAAGGAAAGTTATGAATATAAAAAGGAACGTTGTGAATCATTTATTTTTAATAAAGACAACTTGATAATTTATATAAATTTATTAATGACAGAAAAGTTTTTAAAAATTTTAAAAAAATTGTGACATTTCAATGAACCAAATTATTATTTATATATTTTAAAAATATTTTATTATTATTTTCCCTTTCATTTATGACTTAAAAAAAAAAAAAGATTCCACTACATAATGCAGTTTAGTTGCTTGAAGCAACTTTGGACCACTCTACCACAAAGTAGACTGGTACTTTATTTCAAGTTCTGGAGCGCTGTTATCAGCCACAGTGTTACCACACTAGTAATAATCATTTATTTTCGATTATATGAGAAAATGAAAGAAAAGAAAATTAAAGGAAAATGATATTCCAGGACCCTCTAAAAATATGAGAGAACGATTTTGAAACTTGAAATTTCTAGAATAAAAAGAGTGATGATTCTTGGATGGAATTACAATTCTTCTGGAATAATTTTTTCAGTACCCTATTCTTATATTTTCAGATTTTACCCATTTTTCATATTTTCAATATTTATTTTTTGAATTTCTGGTATTTATTTTAGAATTTTTCAATATTTATTTTCTATTTTTTCAAGACTTTTTTCATTCTTCTTAATGCCGAAAATATTGGAAGATAAACATTGAAAACATTTAAAATGACTACTAAAAAATGAAAAACTAAGTTGAAAATATTGAAGATGATAATTGAAAATGTGAAAGATAAACACTAAAAATATGAAAAATGAGTATTGAAAAAAAATTAACTACAGAAAAATTTTAATTCCAACCAAGCACCATAGTCTTTTTCTGAAATTTCAAAATTTCATGATTTTTAATCGTAATTAATGTTGTTTGAGGATCCTTAGATATCATTTAAAAAAAACCATGAGTAAAAATAAAATTAATAAAGAGAAAAGTAACCAAAAAATATTTTTCTCTTTACATGTGGATGAAAAAAACATATAGAGAAGACAAAATAAATAACTAATTTCACGATAACAATAATTATCTAAATGAAAAAAAAAATGTAGCTTCCATGCTTAGAGTATTGCATCCTTTGAAAATAATTTTGAAAATATGTCTCCTTTTTAATTCTCTCTATATTTTAATATAGAAAACCTTGAAGAGAAACTTTTTTCTTTTGCCTCTTCTTTTCCTCCACTTTTTTCATATTTTCTCAAACTATCTCATTTAAATAGACGAAAATACATTTTTCTTGGTGGTTTTCTTCTCCACTTTCTCTTTTCCATATTTTTCTTTACAAACAAATGGAAGTTAGATCTATATCAAGATCTTGAGATGACTTCTTTCCGCTGCATTGTACTAGTTATGAACCATCAGACTAAATTTAGGCAACTCTAACTTAATATTTCAATAAAAAAATCATTAAAATGAAAAATAAATAAAATTTTTTCTATATAGCTATCTCACAATATTCGATTCCAATATTGTCAAGCTCAATTGATAGTACTTCGACCGAAGATATTTTCTACATTCTTGGAGACTCAAACCAAGGCTTTGTACTTAATTAAGATGCCATTTGCTTTCCACTAAAACCTACACATGTTAGTATAAATTAAAAAACTAATTTAAAATCAACTAGTGGTGTGAGTGGTAAGGACTTCAAACAAATAGTTGGAGTTTAAATTTCAACTATGTGCATATAACAAGTTAATGGGAGAAATCTATCATTTGCTTTTCAATACCTAGGCGAGATAATCTATATTGTTAGTAAGTTTATTCCTGCCTTGAATAAAATTGCCTTTAATGAGAGAATACTTATAAGCAATGCAAACAAATAATTTAAAATTTGAGTTAAATACCATTTTTGCCATTTAAATATTTGCACAAGAACTTCTAGTATTTTAAACTTTTTTATATGGTACAATATTACCTTTCAACAATTAAAAATAATAC